CATTCTCATTAAGTGTATAAGGAGGCAACAGGGAGTCAAATAGACCCTAGAGGCGCCTCTCTCTCATATATATATATATATATATATATCTGTGATATCCAAGGCCAGCCATGCGACAACTGTGGCCCAGGTCAGAAGAAAATCCTGAGTGCCTCGGATGGTAACTGTTCCGCAGAAGGTCTCGACCAGGTCAAGGAACCACGCGATGTCGAAGTGTAGATGCCCCCTGCAGAGATTAGCGCTCGAAGAGTCTGCCCATTCGGTGGCTTCGCACCTCGCATCACTGTCTCTGCTTTACCACTCAGCATATGGAAACCAAACCTGTCCTTCTCAAAACTGGCTGTCAGATTTGGAATGACCCTTACACGAGCCAGCATCTCCAAAGTTGCAGAGAAGTCTCCTGTCACTGCGCACTGCAGTTGGTAGTGCGTCTATGCACGTGAAAATCGTATCCCCTGGTTTCGCCAAAGCAGGTAGTACCTGCGTGCATGCTCCTGGTTCTGTTTCTGGGTTGTGCCTGTGCAAAGCTTTCGCGACGAAGCTCCGGTGAAATTCCTGACTTGCCGTGCCGTAAACTCGATACGAAACTTGCAAGCTGAAGCGTCAAGATGCACCGGCAAGCTTTCGCTACCGGAAAAGTTACCCTAAGCAGTCCCATGTCAAACGCTGGGGGCTGCACGTTGCAGCTCGCGCACAACGGCCTCCACTGCCGTCAGTCCAGTGCAGCTCCCCATCTCCTCGCGAAACTCCTGGCATACAGACTTTGCGGAAAAATCTGGACCGTGGCATCCTAAACAAACTGCCGTGAGCTGCACGTCCCTCCTGCACCATGCGCTTGCAGTCGTTCAGGGCTTGTGTGAAGTTGAGCACCAGGTTAGCACGGCGACTTTGTGCTTCTTGGGCTCTGCGCTCCCTTGCCTGGCGCAGCTCCTCCAGGTGTTGCCTGCGGCGCTCGTCGGCCGCTTGCTCCTCACGGAGACGCTGATGCTGACGTTCAAGCTCTTCCATCCGACGCCGGGCTTCCTCCCGCTCCATCTCACGCTGTCGCTCGGCCTCGCGCTCCTGCTCTTCTTGAAAGCGCTCTCGGGCCAGCGATTGGAGCGCATCGTAGGTGTTGCAGACGAGGCTTTTCAGCTTTTCGACCTGTTGGGCTCCGATGTGCTGAAGCTTGCCGAGGACCGCTTCTATCTTGATTTCCGGTGGCCGGTCTTCCGAACCTGGGTCCGCCGTGGCCTGGACATAACCAGCGAAGGACATGCCAGAGGGCACAGAGGAAGAGGAAGCGGATGCGGACGCATCGCCGGCAACTTCGGACTCCAGGCCTGTCCGTCTCCTAGTACGAGCTGGCTCATCGGAGTCACCTGAAGATCTGGCCCGGGAGCTTTGCTTCGTTAGCTCTTGGAGGCAAAGGCGCTTGAACTCCTCGTGCTCTCGGTCCAGCTTTTCGGTCCCTTTCTTCGGGGCTTCATCTGCTCTGGTCCTCACCAGAAGGATCTTGTCCAAATTCCCACCGCGTGCAAGTGCACGGATTTGGCGTGAGAGACCTGCGTTGCTGCCGATGCGGTTTTCCGTCTTGGCGAGGCAAAACCACGCGTGGTTGCAGTAGAGGTCAAAGTATCTTTCCGCCACTGAAGACCGCAAAAGGTTGGTGTCCTCAAGCCCCGGGAGGTCCACCATGATGCAATCTTGTGGAACATTCGGAAAGTTACCTTTGATAAGGACTCTCGACGTCAGCACCGACTGCACCCAGTCATCGGAGCTCGCAAGATGGACCCTATCCACCAGGAAGTTGCGTGCATCCTCTGAGCACTGAAAGTGCTGGGGATCCCTCTGCGAGCTGTTCTCCAATCGCTGGAGGAACTCTGGTGCTTCTGGAGTATCAAGCTGCACATCTTCCGGCGCCACATCGGGACATGCAGCTTTCAGCACAGCCTCGGCAACATTTTGCATGTCGTCAACGTCGACCCCCGCATCGTCTTCGTACCCACCTCAAAGGCCGTGGCATGAACAATTCCCCACTGCGTCCCGCTCACACCGGTCGATGCAGCACAAAGCGCCCACCTTGCATGACATTCACCAGCATCCTTTTCTTTTCTCGCCATTCCTCGACGCTGCATTCGTTTACAGTGATCAGGACCTGAACACAGCCCAGCTGGGATTGCACAGATTCGACTGCTCCTGCACGTCCAGATCGGGTGTTCATCCGAGTACATTGCAGACATGTCGCACTTTCGTCGAGGATGCTCGGATCATGCAAGACTTCGGTCACAGCGCTTGTGACAGCCTTGCCGAAAGCATGCGACATCACTGGTAGAAAACGAAGAAAAGAGCTGAGCAACACGAGGGGTTCAGGACGGTGTCTCTGCCCTTTGGAACTTCTACTGTCGTCGCACATCCCATTCAGAATGGTCAAAAGTGGAGCAGAGCCAGCATTGCGGGTCCACTGGATTGCAGCAACAAATAATGTCTCACTGCTTACCTCAAAGGACAAAGGTTTCCGTCTCTTCACATCGATTTTGCATTGACGCGACATCTCCGGCTGGGATGGGCGATGGAGGATGTCATATTCCGTTGTTGCATCGATGCAACACTTCCTGCTGTTGTAGCAAGGGTTGGATTTTCCAGACTTAGGATGGTGTCGTTTGAATTTACCCTTTTCTGACATCGACCCGGATGTTTTGGATTTGACGGCACCAACACCACCTGTCACCGAGTTCTGCTTCGACCCGTGCTTCTCAGAGTGAGTCCGCCCAACATCAAAATTTAAAAGATCTGCAGGTTTCAGAAAGTAGGCGTACCTTGTTTAGATTATTTCGTGGCCCTGGTGATCAGGATCTTACTACTCATGCACTGTCTACATTAGGATTCACCGCTTGTCTTTTGAAACTCCCATCTTGCACCCTCTCCCAGCGATCCGGCACAAGTAGCTGACCCAACCTCTAAACCCTAAGCCCTACTTGGAGGTTCATGGGTAGTTATAAGTGGGGTTATAAGTCCCCTAATATGGGTCATAATTATAGTTACCCTACTTATAACTACCCATGAACCTCCAAGTACACCCCCACATTTTTAAGGACTTATATAAAGAAATCATAATAGGGAGCCCTACAAAGGGTAGGTTCTTTAGGGTCCAGGTACACCCTAAACCCAGAAGCAAATCGCAAGAAGGAAGCCGGGCCTTGCCAGTGTCTTCCGCAGGCAGCAGGGTCTTGTCGAGCAAAGCATTCCTGGTTCCCTCTTGGGGCTATATCAAAAATGTCCAGCTTTAATCCTTATTGGGCTATTATTCTTATTATTACTATTACTTTTATACCAAAAATCTACACTTGTAGCCAAAAAGGACCCAGATTCATCAGCGACGTCTTGCCACTGCCAGTCTTTCCCAAGAAGCAAATGCGAGGCAGATTGGCTTCCAGCAGGTTGACTCCGACTTTCAGGTTCTGTTCAGCATCACTAATCGCACTCTCGGGCAAGTTGTGTCTCCGCAGGTCATCCAGCAACTGGGGCAAGGTTCCGATAGCAGCCTTTAAGCTGTTAACCTGCGCCAGCAGCTGCTCAGGGGGTGCAACTATGATCGTCTCGGCCATCGAATCAGAAGAACTCGCTTCAGCCAAATTGCAAAGTCTTTAAATAGGCGGTTTATTCGTCATCAGCCCTGTATGTGCATGAAAGCATGAGTCTCGCTGCTTGCATGTTTCATATCCGCAGCTGCTGGAGGCGCAGAGCCAGAGAAGCAGGTGCTTCCGAGATAGAAACGCAAGACAGCACAAGACAACTCGACTCGCACGGCAACGTCTCTCCGTCCCCAAGTCTGTGCACCCCGGCTGACTAACAAACTCGTGGACGCGGCCTCCTTCCAATCTACTTCGAAGCTGAAGCCATCATAGCCCTCCTGAGTTTCACCAGGCTGTTCTTCCGTGTGTGACAGACACTGACACACGTGATGAGCCAGTGCTACAGGCAAGTTTTAGTTATCAGTTTGGTGAAATCGCAAGCTCACGTCATCTGTTCGAACCCGTGCACTCCTCTGCATCCACTTGGTAGCGGAAGACTACGTAGCCCTCCTTGCGCACGATGTTCACGCTGAGCTCCAAGCTAGAGACCTTGGCTTCAGAAGGGACCGGCAGAAATTGGGCACACCGCGACCTGCCAAGGGCCTTGCCATGCGATTGAAGTTACGGTTGTCACCAGAGTGGATGCTGTTGCCAAGCTCATCTGGCATCCAAGCATTGCAGCCGTACCTAGACATCGGAAGCGTGACGAAGCGGGAACAAACACCCCCACATCTTAAATTAAACCAATGAACATGCCAAGTGACGTCACGTTGCCCGGCGTGCCCATCTCGGGAAAGACCGAGGGCTCGGTCTCTGAACACAACTGCACGGCTGTGTCATTGAGGATCACCTCCGCACTTGCCTTCTGCCTCACGCGCAGCGCCGCGGCGAGGACTTGGGCATCTTGACTGTCCAGGAACTCATAGATCGGCACAGTTCGGGAAACGTTGTCTCGCCCCGGGGTGTGCTCTGGAGGCCCATGAGGACCTGCGCCGATCTCCAAACTAGCTGCAGGGGCGAGCACCACACCCTGTGCTCCGGCCATCCCCGCCACCTGCGCTTTTCTATCGTGGGAACAGCCACCTGCTGCTGCCAGCAACCAGAAGTTCAGGCTCCGGCGGCCATTGTCCGCTTCAGATTCACCGGGCCTCTGGCCTGTGAAGCCGGAAGAGGCCTGTGGGTGCAAGCTTCCCGAGATCCTGCTGCACAAGCGCCGATCGCCCGGCGCCAAGACGAAAAGAGCCACACCCGGTGGGGACCTTGTCCCCTTGCTTCTGGTACGTGTGGCCCGGATGTAGTAAGCCCCAGCAACAGTCGGAGGACTCAGAATCTGGATCTGGCAAACCCCGGTCGTTAGGCCAATAGTGCTGGCGCCATCCGTGTGCCAAGAGCCATCCAGGCGTCGGTAGGAGCAACTGCTTCGGAGCCCGGGAGGCCAGGACCGATGCCAATCTCCCGCCTGCCCGGAGATCAAAAGTCCGCCACCCAAGGAGAAGAAGCCCGGTTTGCATTCCACACAATCGAGCATTGTAAGGCCATTTCGAAGTTTTGCTGCCAAGTGTGTCCCCGCAGGACAGGTTTTATGACAGGACACGTTGAAAAGTGGCGAGGGCTTCACAGGACTCTTCGTCTCGTCGCATCTCTGTGTGTATGGGTAAATATGTCGGAGGCCATCATGACAAACACCGAAGCTAAAGCGCCAGTCACTTTGGGCGCATGCTCGCGTTGGTGCTATCGCACCCTGCACAGCAAATAAACAAATACATGCGGCTGCGAGGGCACAGCAGCAGCGCATGTTGACACCATGGAACTAGCTATAGATATCGTCGAAGAGGCCTGATTAGTGAGTTGGTTTTAGGTTTAGGGTTTAAAGGGTTCACATGAATTAAGTGTTTATTGAGGGTTTATAGGGCCTGTGGGCAATGCAAGTCTTGCACCCACCGAAAGTTTGTGCGGGAGAACTACAACGTAAAGGCATTGCTTTTGACAGCCACAGAAAGTTTCCGAAGGCTTGAGGAGGTCCTCCAGCACTGAGGACCACTGTCTGCTTTCTCGCATACTTGGACCCACACATATTACTCGCTTTCAGGAGCTGTGGATGTTTGAGCGTGGTTGCACTACTCTTTGAGTTTCAAGCACGGCTGCATGGGTCGGACGTCCCGGCTGAACCGAATGCTGCCTTCTGCGTACCAGTTCTCAGCACTGATGAATGCAAGAACGATTTTAGGGTCAAGGCTCGAACATGAACATCGGTTCTCGACTGACGGGAGCGAGTGTCGTCGCGGGCAGTTGCTTTTGACATGTCAATGCGCATAAGCCACATCAAGGAGCAAGGACGGGCCTAAGCTAAAGGACAGCAGCGGCAACACCTGCAGGCGTCGCCCACTCGAGGATGACATCAGCCATGTTATCCGTGCTACGACAATCATGATGGAGCCTGTGCTGGCTTCTCCGACTCCAAGAGAGTCCGCAAAGGAACAAATATGCTAAACCCAGTTCTAGCAGCGCAGGCTCTGAAACTCTTAAATCGGCTTCGCCGATCCTACTACTACCTGTGCTGGCATTCATCTGCCCGACCTTCTTGCATTTTCAAGGGTGCCTTAATTTCCTGCACACGTCCCGAATCTGCCTAAATCTGTCAGAAGAGGGCAGTCGAGTGCTGCGAGTGCAAGTGGCATCTATTCTTGCCTTGTTGCAAGACCTAGGATAAAAACCCAGTCGATCTCGATCTGGCCAGAACGCGGGCCGTAGCCGACCTGAGCGAACTGACTCCAAGCATAGCGGCGCAATCTTTGTACTAGATCGTATTATAACTTCCCAGGGTGTCGCCCTGCAGCCATCTTGCAGGACAGCCCGAACACCTAGACCCGACACCTTTACCAGGGAACGCTACGATCATCTTCAAGGATAGGAAAAACCCACATACCAACGACCAGCTGAATTTATGTATATTATACATGTGCACTGATATAAAAGTTAATTTAATGAGACAGCATATAATGTCACGCGTTGTGATATTTAACATGGCGCAGAAGAACATAACATAAAGATGTGTAATGTGATAAGATACAGCATAACATAACTTAAAATACACCGGAATGCAATGTACATAACAAAATAACACTGATGAACTAAAGATTGAAAGACATTATAGGTTAATAGTAAAAGTTACAATACATATTTATATATACGCACACTATGATTTGAATGTATACATGAATATGTACGTAGATATATATACACACACATTAACTGAGTTTGACAAACTATGCTATACTATACTGTACTATGTTATACTGTACTATACTTTACTGTACTTTACTGAAGTATAAAGAGTATAAAGAAATGCAATACAAAACTCAATACAATATATTAAAATATAGTATAATATAAACACCGATGGCAATATCATCGACAATGTAGAATACACAAGCAGGGGGGCATGATAGATAGCATGTAGTATATCACATGTGAAGCAACATCCAAGATTCTACAATGCATGAGAGGAAAGATACGACAAAACACGCTCATGTAGTATACAGAAACGAAAATAAAAAGGCATAACACGTAAAACAAAGTACATCCATAGTCTTCTGTCCTATAAAATACTATACACTACTATAGCTTGCTATAATATCAAAAGCAAACTGCAAAAATACACCACATAACACAACATTTTGTATACAATACATGTTAAAGGTGCAAAACGCAAGATGAGGTCATAAGGCATAACAGATTGTTATGTAAGTGAATGCAAAATGACGATAACACGTCATAAAAAAAACACATTGTATCATGACGCATAACATGAACTACTGAGTATCATCAGCAACATATCACATCACGCATTATACGCCGTAATAGGATGTTGTGATTTATGTATGTATGTGTGTATGTATGTATGTATGTATGTGTGTGTGTGTGTGTCTTCGTTTAAGGTATGAAACTGCATTATGCATGTATGAATGTATGTATATATTCATGTATATGTAGATTGCTTTGTAAGTTATGGTACTTTACGAAATATAATGAACATTATAACCCTATGCGGAAGAACATTTACAACATGTCTAATAGAACAAAAGTAGACAGACATAGGAAGCCAGACCAGCTTTGCACAGCATCGAGGCTGAGGCTCAGGATCCAGGCCTGCCTCGCTGGCTCCATCTCTGTAGACGCCTCACCGCTCTCTTCTCGGCTGCTATGGAAAGCCAATAAGGGCTTTAGGGTTCTACAGTAGGGGTCCCTTTAAGGGTACCTTCGGGTTATTGAAAAAAAACAAACATTTCAATTTGCACCGCATGCCGTTATACCTCGTGTCACACTGCGACTCAGCGGGTTCTGACTAGGCTCAAGACAGCCCAGCCGGTAGAGAGAAAAGTGTGAAGTAGGGGCCTTAATTTATACTATCATTATAGTAAGGAACCCCCCAAAGGCGTTTCAAGGGAACCTTCAAGGAGTATTTAAGACTTTCATGGTAGCGGAGCTGCTGGCAAAGGCCAGCAGCTATGAGAGCAGATCCAGGGAAGCCAGCTCAAGGGCTGGAAGTGGTAGGGTTCCCTTTAAGGGTTTGGGCCCTATATAAAAATCCCATTTAAAGTTATAGCCCTTTTTTTGGCTTCATCCCTATACTGGTCCTATATACAATCCTACACTATCAGGATTTAGGGCCCTTTGCAAAAACTCCTATAAAGTTATTAGCCCTATCGTGAATCATCCTTACAGTAACCTCAATAGTAAGTTTTATGATAACCCTTCAGTTAACAACCTATTATAGTATCCCTTGATAGCCCCTTTCTAAACCCCAAAGGCCTAAACCCTAAAACCCTAAACCCAAAAACCCTATAAACCCAAAGCCCTAAAGGCCTAAATCCTATAAACCCTAAACCCTAAACCCATAAACCCTATAAACCCTAAAGAAAGGAACCGGCTTCAGACACATGCTCCCGTCGGGCGCTAGCTGGATGGACTGAGGTCCGAGCTCCCTCTGGCATTCCCGTTCAGGCCGGCTGCGTCTAACCTGAGATATCCCACGTTAAGGCTTTAGGGCTTTAGGGTTTTAGGGTGTTTAGGGTGTTTAGGGTTGTAGGGTTGTAGGGTTTCGGGTTTTAGGGTTTGGGGTTTAGGGGAGATAGCCAGAGATTCCAGATGTGTTTCTGTCGTCCATTTTCTTCTGCGGTTTTCCGTCGCTGGAAGCCGTGATGACTGAGGCAACGGACTGGCAGAGGGACTGCAAGGAAGCAAGGGAAATACCTATTCTCCAAACTCCCCTTCCCTTTGCCTGCGAGCCAGCGCGAGGACCCCTACACTACATAAGCACCTAAGGGTGGAACTATGAATGAAACTTTCCGTGTGCTTTCAGCGATTTGTGTGGTCGTGTTCACTGGGCCCCTTAGCGTTGTCCAGGGAAGTGTTGTCCCTAGGGCATGTGCTTCTGCTGATTTCTGCCGCTTGCACTTCTACTAAGACGATGAACTGGCTATGACTGACTAGTTCAAATCACAACCGCGACTGTATCTATAATGTGCAGTTGTTGTTCTTCGAAGCACAACGGACTGCGGGTGTATCGACAATGATGTGAACATTCTTCACCGATGTCCGAGCCCTGCACGGGCGACTTGAAATAGTGCTGGATGCCACCCAAGAGGGCACCTTGCTACACTGGCAAGCAGGACCCTGGTCGCAACTGCAGGCTACTGAAGTTATGGCTATGGTGATGCTAATGGTACTGATACTAGTAGTAGTAGTAGAAGTAGTAGTAGTAGTTGTAGTAGTAGTAGTAGTAGTAGTAGTAGTAGTAGTGGTAGTGGTAGTAGTCGTCGTCGTTGTAGTAGTCGTCGTCGTTGTAGTAGTCGTCGTGGTAGTAGTAGCAGTAGCAGTAGCAGTAGCAGTAGCAGCAGCAGTAGCAGTAGCAGTAGCAGTAGCAGTAGTAGTAGTAGTAGTAGTAGTAGTAGTAGTAGTAATACTAATAGTAGTAGCAGTCAAGAAGTAGTCGTTGTGGTGGTGGCGGTAGAGGGACTTTGAGAAAGCCACAACATATACATTGATATGTAAACACATACATTTGCACACACACACATAGACACATGCAGGCCTACAAATTGGGACTCTGATAAGGCCCCCACTTACTCTAATGCAGACAAAACACACACGCACACACACACACACATATATATATATATTTATTTATTTATTTATTTATATACATACATAAATATACATACACTTGCATACTCAGTGGGACTTTGACACGGACGCTACTTCGCTACTTATACGACCATTTCGGCAGAACGGCCTGTGTATGCTGCTCTCGAGATTTGCAGTTCTTTTGCAATTCGGACACTTCTTCTCAAGGCATGCTGGAATTTGTTGCTCTTCGCAATGCACATACCCAGGATAACCGACCCAACAGGGCATGTTGACGTTCGCTGTTGCATATGCCGCGGACAGCGAGGTCCGTTGAGGACAAGCAGCGTGCACATCCCTCGAAACCTGCCACAAGTCCCAAGTAGGTACCAGTTGTTGATCCTGCAGTTCCAGTGAAAGTGTGGATGCACGTCCGAGGCCACGTTCTTCACTTGGATGTCTTTTCATCGCTCCAGCTGCTACTGACCGTGGCGGCATGGTGGCAACGCCACTCGTAATGGTGTCAGCTATGCAAAAAAAGACTATGAAGTTGTTGCTGTAACAATGGTCGGTCGGTAATGCTCGGACTCACAATGCCAGCGATAGTGACTGAGACGGTACAACTCAAGCAAGTACAAGGGGGTCCCCAATATAGTACGGCACCCTTAT